GGAAGGACGGCGGCGCGGGGCGCGCGGGCTGCGCCAACCCGGGCAAGTTCCACCGCGTGGAGAGGAGCGCGTCGTGCGCGCCGCTCTGCACGCCCGGCGTGGACGTGTACTGGAGCCGCGACGACAAGCGCTTCGCCGTGGTCTGGCTGGCGGTGTGGTCCGTCCTGTGCTTCGTCTCCAGCGCCTTCACGGTGCTCACCTTCCTCATCGACCCCGACCGCTTCCGCTACCCCGAGCGCCCCATTATCTTCCTGTCCATGTGCTACTGCGTGTCCTCGCTGGGCTACATCGTGCGCCTGTTCGCGGGCGCCGAGAGCATCGCCTGCGACCGCGACAGCGGGCAGCTCTATGTCATCCAGGAGGGCCTGGAGAGCACCGGCTGCACGCTCGTGTTCCTGGTGCTCTACTACTTCGGCATGGCCAGCTCGCTCTGGTGGGTGATCCTCACGCTCACCTGGTTCCTGGCCGCGGGCAAGAAGTGGGGCCACGAGGCCATCGAGGCCAACAGCAGCTACTTCCACCTGGCGGCCTGGGCCATCCCCGCCGTGAAGACCATCCTCATCCTGGTGATGCGCCGCGTGGCGGGCGACGAGCTCACGGGCGTCTGCTACGTGGGCAGCATGGACGTGAACGCGCTCACGGGCTTCGTGCTGGTGCCGCTGGCCTGTTACCTCGTCCTGGGCACGTCCTTCATCCTCTCGGGCTTCGTGGCGCTTTTCCACATCCGCCGGGTGATGAAGACGGGCGGCGAGAACACGGACAAGCTGGAGAAGCTCATGGTGAGGATCGGCGTGTTCTCCGTGCTGTACACGGTGCCGGCCACCTGCGTGATCGCCTGTTACTTCTACGAGCGCCTCAACGTGGAGTACTGGAAGGCGCTGGCGGCGCAGCGCAAGTGCCGCGTGGACCACCAGACCAAGAGCCTGGACTGCCTCATGGCCGCGTCCATCCCCGCCGTGGAGGTCTCGCTGCTGAAGATCTTCATGCTGCTGGTCGTGGGCATCACCAGCGGCGTGTGGATCTGGACGGCCAAGACGCTGCAGTCCTGGCGCGGCGTCTGCAGCCGCCGGTTCGCCAAGAGGGGCGCGCGCAAGGCGGCCGGCGGCATCGCGCACGGCGGGATTTACAAAAAGGCGCAGCACCCCCCAAAGACGTACCTGGGGAAGTGCGAAATCCCCGCGCAGCCTCCCACCTGCGTGTGAGCCGGGCCGAACCGGGCCGAACCGGGCCGGGCAGGGGGACTGTCCCACCGCGGCGACGGCGCGCGGCAGAGCCAAACCTGGCGCTTTCTCTGGTGGGTCGGTGGGTTGGTTTTTAAATAAAA